AGAAATGCTTTTCTAACAGATCATAAAATTACAAGTAGAAAAGTATCCTAACAAAGGAAAACAAATCTTTTCTAACTTCTAAGTTAGAAGTTAGAAAAAATTTCAAGATTTGGTCCTGGTGGGCTTTAAAAATCTCACTGATGTTTGTTTCACTACTGTAGGCTGTAACATCTGCCTTAGATTTAGATTTCCAAAAATTAAGTTTAAGCACAAGTGTTGGATATAATATGAAAACATTTTAAGGATTAACAGAGGATGTAATACCTTTCAGGTCTTGAAGAAATACACTAAAAAGAACTCATTTTTATTTTAACAATACTGAGTTAATTACCAATCTGTTAGCTTTGGGTTTCAGTGTAAAACCTATAAATCCAAACTATTTGGTTATATTTTAAAAGAAAAGATACAAATTAGTGTATGTGTATATATATATATATCTCTTAGGTATAGAAAACTCAAGAAAAAAGACTCTAGGTAAGTATTACAATTTTATATTCCTGAAGATATCTCATTTAAGTCTAACCAATGTATGTCAAAAGATCTATCTACACATCTCCAATTGTCCATAATACCTACATACTGCAGAAAGCTGATTTGAACCTACCACACTTCAAGAATTTCTGAACAATCTGCTCTCTCTATACAAATGAGAAACAATGGGAAAGTACATATTCTAACATGAACCTATCCTTATAACAATGCATTACACAACTAAATGTGTTTGCTTTACAAAGCCAATATTCATCTGTGCTACCATACCACTTAGTCAAGTAAGTTTTTAAAATTTAAGATGTTGGCCAGGTGCTGTGGCTCACGCCTGTAATCCTAGCACTCTGGGAGGCCCAGGTGGGTAGATCACTGGAGCTCACAAGTTTGAGACCAGCCTGAGCCAGAATGAGACTTCATCTCTAAAAATAGCTGGGCACTGTGTTGGCACCTGTAGGCCCAGCTATTTGGGAGGCTGAGGCAAGAGGATCACTTGAGTCCAAGAGTTTGAGGTTGCTCTGAGCTGTGACATCACAGCACTCTACCGAGGGTGACAAAATGAGACTCTGTCTCAAAAAATAAAATAAAATAAAATTTAAGATGTAAATTAATAAAATTTAATAAAACTTGTGATTGCAAAAGTCCGGAAATTATTACTCAAGTTCTTTTGGTTAAAAATCCAAAACTTGTTGTTAAAATCAAAACTAAAATGTCTAGCAAGCAAAGATTAGGCATAAAATAAACTGATGGCTCTTCTCAACAGTTTCCACAAAAAGCAACTTGAGTTAGGTTGGTAGGTTCTCAGCAAGAAATAAATTGTACGTGAGAATCCAGTCTGGTCAGTCTTTTTGGACTTAAGAATTGGTCCCACGATGAAGTTTACTTCATTCAAGTACAGTCAAGGGGACCTAAATTTAAAGTCAGTGCCTACGCAAGTGGCTGTAGAAGGTGTTGTCTTACACTTTATTCCCTGGCACAAGCTAATCCTGAGATTATAAACCTTCCTGACTTTTAGATGTATTTAAAGTGGCTATGAACAAAAATTACAAGATTTCATAAAATCATCTCTGAATACGATGCGTTGTAAAGCAAGCAGAGAAGTCAGTCTCTGGGTTACCGACTAAGGCTGCAAAATGCTGTATTCATTTGATGAGTCCCTGACTTGTATGAGTTAAAACTCTCACCCCTTATATTGCGATGACGTAATCTTCCACACTGCATTTCTCTTGGACTTAAAGGGGAGAAAAAAACAACGAACAAAGAAAATGTCCCCCTAGTAAGAGGAATTAAGCAAGCGGCCGAACGATAGTTTCGGGAGATAGCTAGGTAACTCCCTGAAAGGGAAGCTTCAGTTCAATAAGCAGGGAAAGACTTGGAAAAGCAAATGGAAACATTAGGAACTCAATCTAAGGCAGGGATAAAGGAGACGGAAGAAACCGAGCTCAGACCCACCCTGCACGGATGGGGCGTCCGGCCGAAAGGCAAGAGGGAAGCGCGGCGCAGGCACAGCCTGGAACAGTCCGCAGGCCGCCCCCTCCCAGCCGCCACTTCCCCGCCGCGGCTGCAATTCCGCTCCCCTCCCCCAGCCCGCCGCAAAATGTCCGCGGCGGCGCCGGGCGAAGCAGGAAGTCCAAGAGGGAGCGCCTGGGCATAGCCCAGCCCTCGAACCCCGGCTACCAGCCCACCCCAGGCGTCCAGAGCGGCTCCACTGCCCGCGGCCCTCGGCGTCGCGGCCTGGTCGCCCGCCCTCGGGAGCCCGCGGGGCCGGGCTGGAGGGGGAGGGGAGCCCGGGCGGCCGGGATGGGTGTGACCCCTTCCTTCCGCCACTGCCCAGTGACAGCCCGGCCCCGCCCGCGCCCACCGGTCGGCACCCCAGCCCGAGCCGCGCACCTCTCAGACGGCGCGTGCCCCCCGCCTTCCCCGCCACGACCTCCTCCCCTCGGCTTCCCTTCAGAACACGGACCCGCGCTCGCCCGGAGGGCGCAGAGCAAGCCGGGCGCTGCCCTATCCCCCGCGCTCCCTGGCTCCCCGGGATCCCAAAGATGGGATGTCCCTGAGGACGACCGGAGGTCGGGGACGGCACCGCGGGAATATGACGGGACAGGAGCCGCTCCCCTGGGGAGCCTTGGGCCCCGCACTCACCTCAGCTTCTCCACCGGGGCGTTGGCAGCACTGCACGGGGTCTCCTCGGCCGCCGGACAGGGGCACGCACCTGACGTCAGCACGCAGGAGACGCATGGTTGGGTGCCCGCGGAAGTGGGAGGAACAGGGAAGGAGCAGAGGCTGGGGCGGCTCGAGGTGGAGCCTGAACCACCCTGGCTCCGCCCGCTTATGGCTCACAAGCACACCAGGGCGACTCGTACATCTTGGGGCTGCGCTCTGTACCTCTTTGCAATTGTGTTTGTAGTGATACTGTGAACGTTTTTTTGCAAAGCACTTCCACCAACATATCTTTTGATCTTTGCAACCTTGTGAAGCAAAGTATTATCATCCCTATTTGGCAGAGGAGATGGAAGCTTTCAAAGTGAAATAGTGATTTGGGGCAGCCTGTGGCTCAAAGGAGTAGAGCGCTGTCCCCATATACCGAAGGTGGCGGGTTCAAACCTGGCCCTGGCCAAAAAAAAAAAAAAAG